GCACACATGGAAGGACTGGCTCTAGCTATGAGTAAGAGGCCATTCATTCTCGGCAACAAGAGAGAAGGCAGAAGTTCTCTTCTGAGTCAAAAAATAGGAGAGTAGATGTTGGAGGTTTGAAGACAGAAGAAACTATAAAACAATCATCAGAATGGGAGAGTGAAAGGACCAGGGAAATATGACTGCCTTGGCAATACTTAAAGTGAGATGAGTCAGCATGATTGAATTTTTTTTTCCAGCCACATTCAGCTAGTGCAGGCCCAGAGTGGACAGAATTGGATTCAACTAGTGTGGTGATTTATCCAAGAGAGCCCTACAAGAGATGGGCAGGGATAGTAAGGGTGTAAGCAAGGGAATGGTAACCATGATTGTCCATGGTATTTAAACTGGATAAGGGGGAAGTGACAAAATGAAGGGAACGAGAAACAGTAGAAAAATGGCAAAATCTCAGTAGGATTGAAGGACTACTGGAAGTGGAATACTAAAGGAGTGAGCTGGTAAGACAGGAGATGAGATGTTACAAAGTGAGGTGTTGTTGGTAATGACAAGACTTAGGCTTATGATCAGGGGAGTAAATGGCCAAGACAGAGTGAAAGGCAAGATCACTAGTGGAGAAGAGGTCCAAGAAATGAGAGGTCAGAGTTCCTGAAGGATCTTCTCTGAGGATACTGAAATCATTCAAGAATCACGATGGAAGTAGTGTTGGAGAAAGTGACAGTAAGCTAGTAGCTAAAAATATTTTAAAAATTGAGGGAGAGTGACCCAAAATCAGCAGATGACTAAGACAGGGAAAGACGGAGGATGGCATATTGTGACAAAATGAGAGATTTAAATCTAGATATTTTTAGGGAGGAGAATGGGAGAATGATCTGGAAGTAGCAGTGAAAGACAAGGAAAACACCTATTCCACCTTCAGAGGCTCTGTGGTAAAAAGGTTCTGGGAATAAAAATAGGCACCACTCACCAGGGCTTTAGGGAAAGTTGTGTCACCTAGAGAGTGCCAGGTTTTGCTTAGTGGTAGAAGGTGACGAGAACCTTCACATAAGAGAATGAAGATATAAAAGAAACCACAGTGACAGATGAAAGCTTCTGGTCTTGGTACATATATCTTATGTGGAGGGAAAAAAGGTAGCTTTTGCACAAACACAAGCAAGAAAGGGAAAGAGAGAAAGCGAGGGAGAGACAAGGGGAAAATATACAAATGGCAAATAAGTATATGAAAATATTCTCAACATTATCATGTCGTCAGAGAATTACAAATTAAAACAACAATAAGCTATCACTATACACCTATTAGAATGGCTAAAATCCAAAGTACTGGCAACACCAAAAGCTAGTAAAGATGTGGAGCAACAGGAATATTCCTTCACTGCTGGTGGGAGTGCAAAACAGTACAGCTACTTTGGAAAACAGTCTGGCAGTTTCTTATAAAACATAATCTCACCATACAATCCAGTAATTGTGCTCCTTTATATTTATCCAAATGATCTGAAAACTTATGTCTACACAAAAACCTGCACCCAAATGTCTATAGCAGCTTTATATATAAGTGCCAAAACTTGGAAGCAACCAAGATATCTTTCACTAGGTAAATGGATAAGCAAACTGTGCTGTGTACTAAATTGTGTCCCCTCAAATTCATATGTTGAAGTCCTGACCCCCAATATGACTCTATCCAGAGATAGGGTCCTTAGGAGGTAATTAAGGTTAAAAGAGGTCATAAGAGTGGGTCTCTAATCCAATAGATCTGTGGCTTAATAAGAAGATTGTCTCTCTCAATGCCATGAGAAGACACAGCAAGAAGGCAGACACCGCAAGTCAGGAAGAGAGCACTTACCAGAATCTGAGCATGCTAGCATCCTGATCTTGAACTCTATGGTATTTTCTTATGGCCACCTATGTTTGGCCTATGTATAGCAGCCACTCATACACTGAGGATGTGGAACATCCACAGAATTTAATACTATTCAATGCTAAAAAGAAATGAGCTATCAAGACATGAAAAGATATGGAGGGACCTTAAAAGTGTATTGCTAAGTGAAAGAAGCCAATTCAAAAGGCCATAAAATGTATGATTCCAAATATATGACATTCTGAAAAAGCAAAACTACAGAGAAAGTGAAAAGATCAGTAGTTACCTGGGGGCTTGGGAGGTGGGAGGGAGGAATGAATAGGTGGAACATAGGGGATTTTTAGGAAAATAAAACTATTCTGTATGATACTATAATGATGGATACATGTCATTATACATTTGTCAAAACCCACAAAATGCCCAACAAAGTGAGCCTTAATGTAAGCTATGGACTTTAGTTAATAACAGTATAATAATACTGGCTTATTGATTGTAACAAATGTATCACACTAATGCAAGTGTTACCAATAGGGGAAACTGGGGTGGGGAGGTGGCTGGTATATGGAACTCTCTATTTACTATTTGCTCAATCACTGTGTAAATCTAAAACTGAACTAAAAAAAATAAGACCATTAAGTATTGAAAATAATTATGGGAAATTCAAATTTGAGTGTCCATAAAGTTTTGTTGGAACACAGCCATGCTCACTTGTTTATATTGTTTATGGCGGCTTTTGTACTTCAAGAGCAGACTTGAGTAGGTATAACAAAGACCATGTTATCACAGAGCCTAAGATATTTACTATCTGGACCTTTACAGAAAATGTTTCCAGACATCTACTCTAAATTTCATTACCCAAGTTAAAAAGAAAAAGAAAAGTACATCCCTCAGTCTTCTCTGAGCTGATTACTGTATTTAAATTATTAAAAGTTGTTTAAATCACAATAAGTACTAATTACATAATCTGATCTTTTAAATTTAACTGGATAGCTTCTAATATTAAAAACCAAAAACCGGCCAGGCGCGATGGCTCATGCCTGTAATCCTAGCACTCTGGGAGGCTGAGGTGGGCAGAGTGCTCAAGGTCAGGAGTTCGAAACCAGCCTGAGCAAGAGCGAGACCCCGTCTCTACCATAAATAGAAAGAATATATAGAGAAAAAATTAGCCAGGCATGGTGGCACATGCCTGTAGTCCCAGCTACTCAGGAGGCTGAGGCAGTAGGATTGCTTGAGCCCAGGAGTTTGAGGTTGCTGTGAGCTAGGCTGACGCCATGGCACTCACTCTAGCCTGGGCCACAAAGTGAGACTCTGTCTCAAAAAAAAACCAAGTAAATCAGTGAAGTACCTTAACACCCAACAGCAACTCCCAGAGAAAGAAACACTAGCAGACGGTAAGTAGTGTTTCACTCTAGTGCCTACAAAATTGATCCTATTTACTGAACACCTAAGGAATCAAAATTAAAGTGTTGTTCAACTAAGAGAAGATTGTTAACAGTTGGAAAAGGGAAACCTGGAAAACAATAGGAAATGAACACTTTAAGTGACTGACAGGGCAGGATACCTGAGAGAGGTGATTCAGTGAACTGACTGCAAAGAACTGAACGCTCTGTTAAAGAACATTAAGACTAGGAATCAAATGATCAGATTATTCAGGAAAATGCAGCCTGGGCATCAGAAGACAAAATATAATAATGCTATGAAGAAGTGCTCCACAGTTATAGTTTAAGAACTATCATGAAAATACAAAAAGTTAACTAGTTGAGAAAACAAATCATAACTACCCAATACACTGAAGTAGACTTGTTCATAACTAGGGATTTTAGGAAGAATCAATTCTACAGAAATAACTTAGGAAAACATTACAGAACAGAGATTAGGGGGAACAGGCTTTGCAAGTAGACAAAACTGGTTCTGATCCAACTTCTGCCACTTACTAGCTCTAAGACTGAATACAAATTCTCTCTCAGCCTCAATTTCCTCGTCTGTAAAGTAACAGTAACATATTGGACTGTTGAGAGAATGAAATAAAATAATGCATGTGAAGAGCTTAGCAGGATGCCTGATACAAAGTGCTAAATAAATGGTAACTGTTACTAATATATTTGGCTTGGTAAAATACACTGCGAATGGAAAGTCTAAAGTCTTTCCAGCAACTCTTAGAAAACCTGCCTAAGGGATTGAAATAAATCTCCAATAGAATATAATTTTAGAGAACTTCGGCCCTTTAAAAATTAAATGAGTACTTCATTCAATAAATGGAGTTGAGATTCCACTCACAATACTAAGAATGCTGGTCCAAGAGAGAAAAGTAAATATCAGTCTGGTTTCCCCCCAAATTTCAAAGCTGGTGAATGGTGTAGGCTCACTAGGGGACCCACTGGGGGACCTACACAATCCCAAATTCATACATTGAATTGAAGAACAATGTTAGTACTATATCCTGCAATCAAAGAGGAAATAAAAGTTTCCTCTAAATACTTAGATGACAAAGCTTTTCCACTCTCAATTCCAATACATGCCACTCCACACTTACTGATCACCAAAACAACCAAACGAAATATCCTTAACGGGAAAATTCAGAGTTACATCTGGAGAGCACTCAGGATTAAATGTTTGTAAGAGTAAGGTCGAGGTAATCATGGACCGCAGGTCAGGTACTTGGGTTCTTTGCTTCTCTGCCAAAATGGACATCAGCCGTTTAAGGTGGAAGCTGCGAGATGAGGATTTTTTTGTACACATCCACATTCTCTCATATACAACGAACACACACACCTAAAGGCACTCCAGTGCGATCACCGCCCATATCCCACATTCAGAAGGTAGCCTGTAGCCTTTCTGGTGGTCAAAGCCCTCCTACCCTAAGCCTCTTAAAGACGTCCACTTTTCGCCCCACTGAAAGATCACCAAGGGGAACAGTGGGGGGCAAAAAACGATAGTAATTCCAACTAGACAACATTTTCCTCTCGCTGAGGCCAGAACAGAAGCCGAACAGTTCGGCGGCTCTTCCAGGAGGACGGATGCGAGCGACTAGTAGCCTCATTCCCCAGGAAGCGTTCGTCCACACCTGTCATCGAAAGTGGGCGGAAGTAGGAAGAAACCCTTAGACGCGAAGCCGAGCCACCTCAATACATTATCAAATCCCACTCACCCCAGTCTTCATCCGGCTTGTGAGAGAGTCCAAGGCTAAAAGGTGACTCCATGGTGCCGGCAATACAAGCCGGCTCCCCCATAACGCAAGTTCCCCTGCCCTGGAACTCGGTGATTAATACCAGGGACGGTGGCTGCTTGCGGACAAAACACCTTGAAACGCTGACGAGACGGTGGCCGAATAAAGACAAACTACTGCTACTGCACGAGGGACCTATGCAAGCTACAGAACGTCAGCGACTGAGCTAACTGAAATAGATCCCTGAGTAAATATTTCCCTTTTGGAGTTTCCAGCGCTTTCTGTCCCGCTGTTTAAGGGGATGAGGGGAAAAGACACACAAACACCGCTTCGGTTAAACAAAATTTATCGATAATACTGAAAATGAAAAGTAAAACTCTTTTCTGAACATACTGGCTTATTCCCTGATTATCCTTCTTAATACCACAGTTTAGATATCTCAGAACAAAATTAGACACTAATAGAGTAAATTGGCTTAATTTCTACGAATACTTCTGTCGGTGTAAAAATCCTTCATATACACAAGTGTATGAAATAAAAACACAACTATTTTTCCGCATTCGCTAGAACTGCTTTCCTGGCACAGTATGATATAAATTATATAAATCATAATTCTAGAAACCTACCTTTATTTAAACAATTTTAAATAAAGCAAATATAAAACATAAACTCCCCATGCTCAAACTTATCTCCCAAAGACGAGTTTTTAAAGCATAATACTGAGTAAAAGTCCGAGCGAGTCTACCCTAAAACCTACAATAATCTAAATTCCCAATCTTTTTGTTACTAAAACTTAAGATGCAGATTTATTTAAATGAAATTCAGACACTTCACGACCTCACACTGAAAACATGGGCTGAGTGTGATTTTTTAAGAAGTTTCAAGGACACTACTTAATAGAATTTCTTTTTCATCCTTTTTAAATTTCAGTGGCCAGTGAATATACCAGTGACTACCATAAGAACACGTATCCCTCTAGGACCAAGTGGAATCTTTCCCATGGTTACTAAACAAACAGAAATGCTTACCGGAACCCTCCAAACTCCTCATGGCTGGATATTACTACAGATTGCATAATGCAAAATCTCTCTGCCACCCAAGGCAATAAAAAATTCATGAAATCCCCTTACATTAAATGTGATTTCTTCTGTTACCAGACAACTATTGTTTCCATTTAAGGAGAAATTTATTCTCACCCAACTGCAAATCCAAAAATTGACATAAAAACTATTGATAAAATAAAATCAGTTAGTCTTTTGTTCTGTATACCAGTTTAGTCTCTGAAGAAAATCACAACTGAACTGCAGCAATTTTCATTTTTTTTAATTTTCAAAGGATTTTATTTTTTATTCAAAAAGTGCAGGTAATTATCAAATAGTGTATTCCTATCACCAAGAATTAACAAATATTAACATTTTCCATTTTTGTCTCAGGTTGTTTTAGTAAGAAATTAAACATTTCAGATAATGTTGAACTCTTCTTTCTCTCCTGCTTCAATTCCCTCCTTTTGCATAGGCCACTTCATAACAAATTTTATGGGAATCATTCTAGTCCATTTTTATTTTTACTTTTACCATGTTTAAATGTTTAGAGATATATTTAGTGTCATTTTTAGGTTTACATAAACTTATCATACTCTAATGTTCTCCAAATCACTTTTCTCATTTGACATTTACTTTTTGAGGATCTATCCATGTTTCAACAGTTATATGGTATTTTCTTGAATACATATATCACAATTTCTTTTTTCATTTCCCTAATGATAGACATTTGGGTTGTTTCAATTGTTTACTGTTACATAAAATATATCCTTGCATGGGTCTTCTTGTGCATATATGAGGAATGTCTACATGCAACATGTATGCTGGGTCATAAAGTAGGATAGAGTTGGAATATTACCACTTGCCAAATTATACCAATTTACATCAACGTTAGCAGTGTTGAGTTTTTTGCTCCACATTTTTACCAACGCTAGATATCATCAGACTTTTACAAGTTTTACAACTGTGAAAGGTGTGATTACAATTTACATTTCCCTGACAATTAAAGAAGTGGTGCCTTCTTTCCATTTGTGAAATCTTATTTCCCCTTCTGTGAACAGCTGACACTCTCACCTATAATAAAATTTGCTGTTGGGTTTCCTTTCTCTTGATGATGTATACATCCTGAGACAGCCCACTGTATTCATTTACCCAGTATATATGTTGTAAATACCTTCTTCCAGGCTGATACTTATCTCTGTTTATGGGGTTTTATTTCCTCTACATTTCAATTTCAATATAGTGAAATTTAACAATCTTTTATGATCTCTGCTATTTATATCTTACAAGTAGAAATCTTTCCTGAGGTCAAGATTATCTTTTTTATTTCATCTTCATAGTTTTTTTTATACATATAATTTTTTAGTCCTGGATGAGGTTCTCGAACCCCAAGAGAGGGAGGGCTCAGAAGTCGCCCTATCTTCATAGTTTTATATTTTGTTTTTCGTATCCTTTTTTCCCTATCAGTTATCAGTGGGGTATGGTAACACTTATTGATCTTAAATCAAAAAACTCTGCTGAATTTATTTTATCTCCAAATTCTTTATGATTTTTCACTTAAAAAATGTATTTTATGCCAACACTAACATCTTAAAGTATATTTATTTAGCATTTCAATCTTTAAAAAATAAACTTTTAAGGCCGGGCGGGGTGGCTCACACCTGTAATCCTAGCACTCTGGGAGGCCAAGGCGGGCGGATTGCTCAAGGTCAGGAGTTCAAAACCAGCCTGAGCAAGAGCAAGACCCCATCTCTACTATAAATAGAAAGAAATTAATTGGCCAACTAATATATATAGAAAAAAATCACCGGCGCATGCCTATAGTCCCAGCTACTCGGGAGGCTGAGGCAGGAGGACTGCTTGAGCCCAGGAGTTTGAGATTGCTGTGAGCTAGGCTGATGCCACGGCACTCAATCTAGCCTGGGCAACAAAGTGAGACTCTGTCTCAAAATAAATAAATAAATAAACTTTTAATATGGAAACTTTCAAACAAACACAAGAGACAATATAATGAATCCCCTTGTTCCTAGCACCTAGCTTTGACATTTATCTATCCTTTTCCCAAAAAACACTTCTATATTTCCTTTTTCTTTCTTTTTTTTTTTTTTCTTTTTATGAGACAGTCTCGCTTTGTTGCCCAGGCTAGAGTGAGTGCTGTGGCGGCAGCCTAGCTCACAGCAACCTCAAACTCCTGGGCTCAAGCAATCCTACTGCCTCAGCCTCCCAAGTAGCTGGGACGACAGGCATGTGCCACCATGCCCAGCTAATTTTTTCTATATATATTAGTTGGCCAATTAATTTCTTTCTACTTACAGTAGAGACGGGGTCTCGCTCTTGCTCAGGCTGGTTTGGAACTCCTGACCTCGAGCAATCCTCCAGCCTCAGCCTTCCAGAGTGCTAGGATTACAGGCTTGCTTTGTTTTTTCCTGGAATATTTTAAAGCAAATCCCACTCATCTATTATTTTACCTGTAAATACTTCGATATGTATCTCTAACAAACACGGCCTTTTATTTTTTTAAAACATAAGTGTTGAATGTTATTGAATCCTTTTTCTTCAATCTATTCCTCATTCATTTTCAACTTAAACTCTGGAATAGAAATAATTTTTTTTGGCCCCAAATGTGATCACAGGATAGAAATAAAATTTGAGAGGGAACTTCACATGTGGAGACAATACCACTCTTTGACTTAGGCAAGGGGAGCATCTATCCTGGATCTAAACCCTAGAGGACTTTACTCTGACCTTCTCTCCCCAAGGGTAAGAAACCAGGGTGCTGGCCGGGCGTGGTGGCTCACGCCTATAATCCTAGCACTCTGGGAGGCCAAGGCTGGTGGATTGCTCAAGGTCAGGAGTTCCAAACCAGCCTGAGCAAGAGTGAGACCCCGTCTCTACTAATAGAAAGAAATTAATCGGACAACTAAAAATATATAGAAAAAATCAGCCAGGCATGCTGGCCCATGCCTGTCGTCCCAGCTACTCGGGAGGCTGAGGCAGTAGGATCCCTTGATCCCAGGAGTTTGAGGTTGCTGTGAGCTAGGCTGACACTACAGCACTGTAGCCTGGGAACAGAGTGAAACTGTCTCAAAAAAAAAAAAAGAAAGAAAGAAAGAAACAATGGCCAAGGTGATATGCCCAACTAGAACACATGCCCCCTTCCAGTCATGATTCTAACACCCAAATAGCCCATACGGATTCAAGCCTGCTTTTGGTTCTAGGACTTGCTCAAGCCTCTGACCTTTTTAGGGTGAAATGAGGCAATGGTATAAACGATGGGTGTAGACAAAAGGCAGAGCTTAGACATTTAAGTAGGGAATCTCTCTCTCTCTACACACACACACACACACACACACACACACACACCAGGCTTCTCATGAGACAAAACAAATCAAGGGGTAGGAAAAGGAAGCAGCCTATAGGTCAGGAGCCACCTCTCCCCTGCCTTGCCATGTTTTGTCACAGAATTTCATAAAATCAGATGGCCTTCCAAATCATTACGAAGCTGTTATTTGTCAAGATAAGAGAATAAAACATTTTGTTTAAGTTAGGAAGCTTGACTTGTAACTTTTAAATGTTAAGACAAATAGCATGTGGACCTCAATTTGTATTCTTGTCAGAACTCTGCAAATGGGGAGGAGGCTGACTAGTGAATGTACAATATAGTTAAAATTGCATTTCATCAGTACTATTAAATTTTACAATCTGATCAACATTTTCACTGTATCTTTAAGGCATATATCACCCTGAGCAGTGAACCCAAAAATTAGAATATAGATGTTAAAAGCTCAGAGTTTTGGAATCAGTCTTAATTCTAATCTAGGCTTAACCATCTGCTAGCAATGTAACTCTGAGGGAGTGACTTCATCTTTCCAAACCTCAGTTTCACTTGTAAAATGAGAATAGCATCTATCTCAGAGTTTTTGTAAAGTTTTAATTAGATAATACACATTAAGTGATTAGCATAGTGACTGGCATATGGTATGTGCTCAATAAATTGCAGCTGTTTTACAGAAAAATGTTGAATACTAGCTAGGCACCATACTAAGTTCTTTACCTGCATCAGATCACAAAAAATCTTCATAATAACCCAGATCTCAATTTCATATAGGAAAGAATGAAGGCTAATGTAAATGATCTTTAAAATGACTGTCGGGAGGGCAGCACTTTTCTAATCAATCCCACTTTGTAAAGGAGAAAACTGATCCACAGTTCTCAAAAGACCTGCTCGCGTTCACAAAGATAATGATTAGCAGAGCCAGATTAGAGCATACTTTATGTTAGTACTGCTTTCACTGTCCCACATTGCCACTGAAGTAAGGCTAGTATTGCTTTTTTCAACAAATGTATAAATCCAAATGTCCTAAATTGCTATTCCTACATGAAATGTTTAAAAAAGGAAATCTATTTTTTTAAAAAGAACAAAGATTTTCTATTATATCTACCCCCAAAAAATAAAGCATTGAAGGACTTTAAATCTGAAAATGTTGCTTAGTGGATGTTTCACAAAATTTACATAAGGAAAAGTTGTTTCCCCACATAATTACTCACTGGTAAATACCAATTATCTTACAAAAAAGGTACCATCTCTTCCAACTAGAAATTGCAAGAAAGCAGGGGCTTTATCTGATTTCTTCACTGTATCGCCTAGAGTTGTGCACATAATACATTTTCAATAAATACTGGCTGAGACAGTCTCAGCCAGTTACAGACAACTGTAAATTCAAATAAAATCTATGTAATTCTCTGTGCTGTTACAGTGTATGATGGAAAGGCATAAACTTGAGCCATATAATACTACAGCTATTCAACTACTTTTACCTACTTTTGTAGGTAAAAACTACAAAAGGAGCAATTTCATAGGGTTTTTAAAAAGCTTTCTAGAGGATAATAGCATGAAGCAAAAAAGTGATTTTGTGAAAGCCAAGACAGAAATGAAGGAATTATATGGAAGTTGCCAAAGGTTCCGGGTCCTATGTTGAGATTTTTCTCAAAAATCATCCGTAACACTCCCATACATTGTCAAAAATTAAGCTAGGCTTTTTTACAGAGGATCATTATTCACATTTCTTTTGTATTTTGAAATTACTCACATTTTTGCGTTTATTATACACACAGACACACATGTGTAAATATACAAAATGTTTTAAGGACATGGACTGTATCACTTTATTAGCTAATTTTGATTTCCTGTAAATGTTCAAATACCTAATTAGGTCCAATAATAACTATTAATAATAAATAATTCTAGTTTCTAGACATCAGGTTAAAAAGCTAATCTGGACATATTAACCTTTCCAATAAACAGACATATTGGGCTAAAAAATTAACTGGTATATAGGAACTTCACATTTGATTTCTTCATTAGAAACACACCTAACTTAAACAGGCATCTTAAACAAACTTTTCTAAAAATGTAGATAATTGGGATTCCTTAACAATAATAGTGAAACCCACATTTTTTTTTTTTTTTTTTGAGATGGTGTCTTGCTATGTTGCCCAAAGCTGGTCTCAAATTTCTGGCCTCAGGTGATCCTCCTGCCTTAGCCTCCCCCCTAGCATAGCTGAGATGACAGGCATGAGTCACAGTGCCTGGCTCTGAAAACTGTATTTTAATCAGTGTTTTACTAATGGCCTTTTCTTTACATTTCCAAGACAAAAACCTAGACATACATGGGTTTACTAATGCCCCTTAAAAGAAAAAAAATGAAATACGCCGAGCGTGGTGGCTCTTGCTTGTAATCCTAGCACTTTAGGAGGCTGAGGCGGAAGGATTGCTCAAGGTCAGGAGTTTGAAACCAGCCTGAGCAAGAGTGAGAACGCGCCTCTACTAAAAATAGAAATTAATTGACCAACTAAAGAAAAAATAAATATATACACAAAAACTAGCTGGGCATGGTGGCGCATGCCTGTAGTCCCAGCTACTCGGGAGGCTGAGGCAGAAAGATTGCTTGAGCCCAGGAGGTTGAGGTTGCTGTGAGCTAGGCTGATGCCATGGCACTCACTCTAGCCTGGGCAACAAAGTGAGACTGTGACAAAAAAAAAAAAAGAAAAAAAAGAAATAAATTCCAAAATATGTCCAAACAAATCTGCTTTACATTCCTGGAAATAAAAGAACACCTATCTAAACATAATAGTTTCTAAACATAATAATATATAATAATTACTATATAATTATATAAAATATATTATGATTATATAAATATTATAAATACATAATAGTATCTAAAAATACTTTTTATAAATAATTTTGTCCATCCAGACCTTAGGATCACATAACTAACATTCCAAACATCAGAACTTTTAAAAATATATAAAAAAGAACATATCAGGTTTATAACAGATTTTAATATCCAATAAAATGAACATGATTAAAAGGCTTTGTTTGCCATGTAAAGTATTCTACTTATATCATATAATAAGCTAAGAAAGCAGTATCCATGTTACATCAGATGATTTTATCTTCTCACTTTTCATATGAAATGTTGATGGCCTAAAAACTGCCATGAATGAATAAGCAAGGGTAGCACATATCAGCAAGTTTCTTCCCAGGCTATCAAATATCACAAGTTCATATTGTTCCTGATTGTGACCCCAAAGCTGGCAGCATTTTCATTTCATCCACTTTACTCTTATGTATTTGAAAAGCAGGCGTTATCCATCTACCACAAGAGCACTTTTCACCATGCCAGTTGAAGGAGCCCAACTTGGCACTGCATTTTGGACAAAGAAGCTGAAATAAAGCAAATGTGTTACTTCATTCATTCACTTTTCTACAAAACAAATAATTACCTTGGCAATACAGAATACAGAAAACAGCTAAGACATGGCCCCCACCTTGAGGAGTTTATAATCTAATCAGTGAGATAAAATACATTGGAAATTTACTGTAATAGAATGGTGCACTATAATTATTACATAAGAGGCATGTTTTATTCAGGGAGTTTAGTTAGAGAAGGAACAGATGAATTCCAGTTAAGGGGAGAAAGGTGAAGTCTGAGATTAGATTAAGGAAGGTTCAATGGATATGGCATATGCAAATGGCTTTTAAATCAGTTTATAATTTAAGATTTCAACCTAAAATCATCATGGCTAAAGGACAGAAAAGCATGTTAGGATTCTCATATTCTGTGACTGATACTGACAGCATATAAGTCAGATTTCTGGCTACTTAAAACAAATAGATATTCCAGTAAAACAGATAAATCCAAAGATACTTAATAAGTCAATTATATTTTCTTCTAATATAGTTATAGCAGTATTTTTTATGGTTAGCTCTTTAATTTGTACATAGTATGAGGTAGGGATTTTTATTTTTAATCTTGAGCTACAGAAAGTCTGGATATAAAACTCAGAAACCGTAAGTGAAAAAATGAACAGATTTGATTACATAAATATATTTTAATATGACAAAATATATGGAAAAATTGAAATAAGCAACAGTCTAGAGAAAATAATTGCAATATATTAGACAAAGCATGAACATCTAGAATATATAAAGAGCTCCAACCTATCAATAAGAAAAAGACAGAACCCATAGAAAAATGGGCTAAAGATGTGAAAGTAATTTACAGAAAAATAAACTATAAGTAGCTGGTAAATACATAAAGATGTTGGTCCTCTAGTAGTCATGAAAATTCAAATTAAACATTTTAGGATTAACATTTTTCAACCCACAGATTTACAGACTGACAAAACTTTACCAGCTCTATGGTATCTATCTATCATGCTAAGGATATGAGGAAATGGGTACATGTGTTCAGTTAGTGAAAAGCAAATTATGGACATTTTGAATGTCAGGTTAGAATATTACTATTATTGAAAACGTATGCATTCTTCAAGCCAGAAACTTCACTTCTTCTAGGTATACAGTCTATAAAAAATTCAAATATGTATATAAGAAGTATTGCACAAATGTGATTTAGCATCTTTCAAAAAAATGTATTTAACTTGGGGTATATGTGGTATGTTTTCCAGGTTACATAAAAGCAGCAAAAGCACAAGCCACAAAAGAGAAAAATAGGTAAACTGAATTTCATCAAAATTTAAAACTCTGTTACAAATAATGCAGTCAAGAATGTGAAGTAGGCTGGGCCTGGTGGCTCACACCTATAATCCTAGCACTTTGGGAGGCTTAGGTGGGAGTATCCCTTGAGCCCAGGAGTTTGAGAACAGCCTGGGCAACAAACCTAGGCTCTACAGAAAAAATGGAAAAATTAGCTGAGTGTGGTGGCACAGGCCTATAGTCCTACTATGCAAGAGTGCATTCTTTAACAGAAAATGAAAAAGAATCTCATAGCAAACATACTAAATTAAAAGCTCAGGAAAAAAAGAGAGAGATACATGAAGCTAACAGAGAAAAAGAAAGGAAAGAAATTTTAACTCTAATTTTTAAATCCTTGATTTACCCTACTTGTTGCAAAGTTCAAATTCTGTTAAATATTATTCGAATTCTATTAAATAAATATGCTAATTAATTTTAAAATGTTAGTGTTATATTTGAAAAAATATAAACAACAGCCTTACTTAGTAGGACTTTATTAACCTAGACCAGGGCTCTCAACCAAAAGTAGTTCACTATGTTGGATCAGCTAATTTTTTAAAAATACTTTGACAGTCTTATCTAAACTAGAAAGATACAATCTTCAGAAAAAAGGAGTTAATAAATGGACTAAAACACTAGTTAAGATATGGTTTAAAATGCAAGAAGTAATAAAATATAGATAATAAAATAAAATTATAGAAAATAAAATGTGTTCTCACCTGTCCATCCATCACTCCCAACAAAGTGGATTCCATCCATTGTACAGGCTCAATGAAATAAGAGGTACATGAAAATTCATACACCGAATTCCGCTTCCTTTTCTTGTGGACAAAGTCATAAATCCAATTTCCTACTTTATGATCCAAAACACTAGATCTTCGAAACAAGGATCGCCTGCAACCCCCAAACAAACATTTGCAATAACCCCTACAATCTGATTACTTTTACCTTTAAGAATTTATTATTCTTAAAAACAGATTTGAATTAGAAATTTCTATATAATTCAATTAAATCCTTCCCACAGAGATTTAAGAAAATGAAACATTTAAGTACTTTTCAGCTACTAAGACAAGATAAAATTCTCCAGAGGATACAAAATATTTTACCTGCACTTTCTACATCTGTAGAGAACCTGATCTGTCAATCCTTGTGAAATGGTGGTTGGGTCAACAGCAAAAAGTTCTTGTGGTAAATTCTGCAATTCTGTATAAGATAATTAAAATGTATTTATTTGTCAAAATCAACTCTGGGCCGGGCGTGGTGGCTCTCGCCTGTAATCCTAACCCTCTGGGAGGCCGAGGCGGGCGGATCGCCCGAGGTCAGGAGTTCGAAACCAGCCTGAGCAAGAGCGAGACCCCGTCTCTACTATAAATAGAAAGAAATTAATTGGCCAACTAACATATATAGAAAAAATTAGTGCTCAGTGGGTGCGCGGGTGTCCTGTAAGTCCAGCTTACTCCGGAGGGTGAGGCAGCAGGATGGCTTGAGCAGGAGTATGTGGAGGTTGCTGTGAGCCTAGGCTGGACGCCATGGCACTCACTCTAGCTGGGCAACAAAGTGGAGGAGACTCTGTCTCAAAAAAAAAGAATCAACTCTGCACTTTCAGTCAAAACTTAGTTAATGCCAAATTGAGGCAACAAATGCTACCCTTAGAAATTAAAAAAAAAAAAAAAAAAAAAAAATCAAATTCAGAGTTTGAGAAATAGATATGTAAAGAGCATGTAACAGAGAAAATGGCCAGATAAACGATTGCTCTCTTCCAAATCTCCTTACACTAAGGGGCAGGGAGATGGCTTTCCTTTGTGCACAGGAGAGGCTAAGAGAGGATTAATCAGGACCATCCTGTTTAAAAGCTCATAGCCTCCGGGCGCGGTGGCTCACGCCTGTAATCCTAGCTCTCTGGAGGCTGAGAGCGGGCGATTGCTCAAGGTCAGAGTTCAAAACCAGCCTGAGCAAGAGCGAGACCTGTCGTCTACTATAAATAGAAAGAAATTAATTGCCAATCTGAATGGTATATAAAAATTAGCGGCATCGGTGCGCATGCCTGTAGTCCAGTACTCGGGAGGCTGAGGCAGGAGATCGCTCGAGCCCAGGGAGTGTGGATTGCTGTGAGCTAGGCTGACGCATGGCACTCACTCTAGCCTGGACAACAAAGCGAGACTCTATCTCAAAAAAAAAAAAAAAGCTCATAGCCTCAGGGACAAATGCCCAACTTTCAGAAACAAGCATAGTGATTAAGTCCTTGGATTCTTGGCACAGATTACCTGAGTTCAAATCCCAGCCCTGCCATTTACAAACCACTAGACCTTGAATAAGTTATTTCCAAGGAAACTACAGTTTCAAAAGGAAACAATAGTTTTTCAAGATTGCTGGAAGTGAGATAATCTGTTCAGTGTTAGAGTAAATAACTTCTAAAAAGACCCCAGTAAACACCATCAATTATTACTTACCTGGATACTTCTCAGTAACCTTTTGTAAACGATATTGCTTATAAATTGCACTAGAGGTATCCACTTCAGTATCCATTGCCTGGTATAATTTCAGTTGCCATCAAACCCCTCATTCATCCTTAATGACAAAGAAATATAAAGTTCAATTTTCTTTAAGATACAATCACATCACAAAAGCAGAATTTTACTTTAACAAGAACTCACTTAGCCTCTGGTTTGATAGTCTTTGAGATATTCATAGCTTCTTCAAAGGTACTGAGGTCAGTCTTCATCAAAAAACAGTCACAGACAGCAACACTTCGACTAATCGCTGAATGACTGAAAAAGAGACCTCAAGATAAACGGCAAATATCAACAATTAAAAAAAAAACCAACCAGCCCTATTTAATGGTAAATTCAGATCACTGCATTTCACTTCTACTCAGAATAAACCCATTGCCTCTGAAATACTACCAATGTACAAAGAATGATTCCTTGTTTCCATGTTCCTCTTGCATTTGAACCTATGAATGTATACCTATTCAAAAACAATTACAGCCGGGCGCGGTGGCTCACGCCTGTAATCTAGCTCTCCGGAGGCTGAGGCGGGCGGATTGCTCAAGTCAGGATCAAAACCAGCCTGAGAGTCGCTCCCTGGTGGGTCTAGTGGTTAGGATTCGTGATCTCACCGCCGCGGCCGGGTCGATTCCCGGTCAGGGAACTCTCGATGTTTTATTACAGAACATGTTCTTACAATAAAAAAAAAAAAAAACCAGCCTGAGCAAGAGCAAAGACCCCGTCTCTACTATAAATGAAGAAAAATTAATTGCCAACTGAGTTATATATAAAATTAGCCGGGCATTGGTGGCACATGCCTGTAGTCCAGCTACTCGGGAGGCTGAGGCAGTAGGATTGCTTGAGCCCAGGAGTTTGAAGGTTGCTGTGAGCTAGACTGGACGCCCCGGCACTCACTCTAGCCTGGACAACAAAGCAAGACTCTGTCTCAAAAAAAAAAAAAACAAAAAAAAAAAAAAAAAAACAATTACAGTAGGTTTTTGTTTTGTTTTGTTTTTGAGGCAGAGTCTCACTTGTTGCCCAGGCTAGAGTGAGTGCCATGGCATTAGCCTAGGTCACAACAACCTCAAACTTCTGGACTCAAGCAATCCTCTGCCTCAGCCTCCCAAGTAGCTGGGACTCCAGGCATGCGCCACCATGCCTGGCTAATTTTAGTATATAATTAGTTGGCAATTAATTTCTGTGTATTTATAGTAGAGACGCGGCTCGCTCGTTGCTCCAGGTGGTTGGTCGAACTCCTGACCCGAGGCAAATCTGCCACTGGCCCCAGAGTCGCGTAGGTGAGCTAGGGATGGTACGAGGGGAGCCACCGCCGGCCCTACAGTAGTTTTTAAAAATTTTGTAAGGACTTCAGAACTAATCCAAACTCCTTTGCTCTTAGCTTTCAAGGCCCTGGAGATCTAGTCTCAGACGTCTTTGGATTCTATCACTACCTTCTGTTCTTGTGTAAAATTTAGAACAAGTGTTGGCACACCAGTAAGTGCTCAATAAATTCAAATTATTGTTATTACCCTCTAATTCAACCAAAGACTACTTAGGGAGTCCCAAATACCCACCAACATTTTCTTTTTGTCTTGGCAGCAACCTACCCCATTTCTCCCCTAGGCAAGGATGGCCCAGGTGTCCTTTAGATTATAACCAATTCCCCTTTCATCAACCAACACCCTCACGCCAAACAAAAACATTAAAAATAATATGCTCTTCCCCTTAAGTCAAAACAACCTTAAACCTTTGTTAATCTCTTAGTGAACACCTAGCATCCTAGTCTGTATTACAATCATCGGGTGAGTGTCTGGCTTCTCCCAGAGAGCTGTAAACTCCTTAGGGTGTCGGAATTTAGTCATTTATCTGATGACACCCCTTCCCACTCCCAAGAAACAACTCTTGCTGCAGAATAAACCGACCAAAATATGAACGAATGAAAGCATACGCGCCATCAAGGGCTCGCCTCCAACCCCCTACGCTCTCTCGGACCCACGCCTCCAGCAGGAGGGAATGGGAAGAGGTTCTCCTGGTTTGGCTGCCCGCCTCGTACTTCCCTGGTGACCTCGGATGAAAGGGGTGACGAGGGCAGACCGAATGCGAGGCGAGGCACTTCTCCCCACTGATCCGACCACTCACCAGTGCACCAACACCGCACGGTCGTTGTCGCGGGCCTGTGTGATGAAGGACACGCAGCGGTCCAGATGGCTGAGCAGGTCGGTCTCGGGTTTGTCCAGCGCTGGCACAAAGAGGCTCCATAGATCCTCGATCTCAGCCCCCAACTTGGGGCTGGGCTCCTCCGAGTCCACCGTCAGCACCGCTGAGATGCCCGCCGCCCTCAGCTGGTCTGGCTTCGCGACGGCCGCCGCCCCACCCAGGTACAGCCTCGGAATAACTTGCAGCATCTGCACGGTGGAGTCGACCTCGCTAGCGCGCGGGCTCCGGCGCTCGCAGCCCCCACTTGGGTTCTGAGCCTCCAACATGGCGGCGCCTAGAGACTAGGCTGCGGCCAGCCCTACCATCGAGAGGGCGGCGGCTAGAACCTCCCTCCCCTGGGACACGCCCAAGTCAGCTACTAAGCCTCCTCCGTGGGAGGACCACGGCGGTACCAGGTGTACAGGCTTATTAGGGACGGCAGAGCTAAGTCCCATTCCCAGCGGCGTTTCCAGTCACGTTCTCTTCGCCCCCTCCCATCAAACTTACTGGTAAAGGATAAACTTCCCCAAATACAGGGTTTCTCAGACTTTTAGTATTGAGACTTTCAGGAAAGGGGCAGCAGGAGCAAATGAACTCGAATTTGAAATAAAGGTCCCATCAAGTGATACAGCATCATTTCATCCATTCAAAGTAAAACATTTTTTCAGTGCTCATAAAGCCATTTATATTTCTTTGCTTATTGGTTTTGCCCAATTTTTATTGGGATATGAATCCTTTTCTTGTTGAGGTTTACTGGTGTCAATGGGAAAAAAAGCCAAACCCTGTAAAATAATTTTAAAGAGATTTAGTCTGATTCAAATTTGAGGACTATGACCAGGAGCCACTCCCAAGAAGCCTTGAGCAAGTGGACTGGCTGTGGCTGGGTTACAGTTTGGTTTTATACATCTCAGGGAGACAGGGGTTACAGGTAAAATCAAAAATCAATACTTGAGAGGCATACATTGGTTTGGTGGAAAAGGTGGGCCATTTCGAAGAGGGAAGGGGTTTATAGGTTATGGGTGGGTTTAAAGATTCTTTGGGCCGGGCAAGGTGGCTCACGCCTGTAATCCTAGCACTCTGGGAGGAAGAGGCGGGTGGATTGCTCGAGGTCAGGAGTTCAAAACCAGCCTGAGCAAGAGCGAGAGGGTCTATACTATAAATAGAAAGAAATTAATTGGCCAACTAATAAATATAGAAAAAATTAGCCCAGCATGGTGGTGCATGCCTGGAGTCCCAGCTACTGAGGAGGCGGAGGCAATAGGAGCTCTTGAGCCCAGGAGGTTGTTGTAAGCTAGGCTGATGCCATGGCACTCACTCTAGCCTGGGCAACAAAGTCAGACTCTGTCTCAAAAAAAAAAAAAAAAAAAGATTCTTTGGTTTGTAATTGGTTAAAGGCATGAAGCTTTGTCTGAGAGCTGTTATCAGAGATAAGCCCTCAGGCATACATTTGTTGTGCAAATTGAGGACCTGCAGGTTTGTCTTGCATACCCTTAGGCCTGTTAATGGTTTACACAGGATGTCCCCAAGAAGGGAGGGAGGCATGATAAGGCATGTCTGACCTCCTTCTGGCAGGCAATTTAGTTTTAGGATATTCCTTTTGCCACGAGGAGGTTCCTTTAGTCAGGCAGTCGGGCGGTGAGCCTTAAAATTTTATGTTAGTTCACACTGGTCTATATATTTTGAAGATATTAATCCCATGTTTTCATATGTTAATGCCCTCCAGCCAAAGACCATGAGGAACCCACCTATAGTTAAACATGGTTGTTTAACTATGTTTAACTATAGGTTGACAGTAAAATGTTGGAGACAGGGAACTGGCAGGCACTACTTTGGAGATTGCTTCTGGCATTGCTTTAGGCATTGTTTCCAGCATTGCTTTAGGCATTGCTGCAGGCCTTGCCTGAGTCAGGAAGTCTCCAAACAAAGTTTCAAACTACCCTGATCAAAAGTAGATAAAGACAGGATAAGTTCCAACAGGTTAGAACCAAGATGGTGGAGAAATTGACCGCTTATTGACCTTACAGCTTCATTATACAGTTCATAACTATAAAAGTTTATAAGAAAATCTCCCACTCCCATCACGTACCTGACGCCATGACACTTTCTGTTTGATCATATTCAGTCAGAAGGAGGACATCACCCTAATTCTAGGAAATTACCGCCCCTTTCCAAGAAATAACATGAACATACCCCCTGTTGTTTAGCCTATAATTAACCTGTTGCTTAAATAGAGTGGCTAAAGGAACCATGGGGTGGGTTCTCCTCCACAGAAAGAACTAGCCTTTACTCCTGTGGTCCCCAACCCCCAGTACCAGTCTGTAGCCTATTAGAAACCAAGCCACAGAGCCCTGTCTTCCACTACTCCACCCCTGCCCACTCCCACCCCCCCCATCTGTGGAAAAATTGTCTTCCATGAAACTTAGGAAGGGGGGTGCAAAGCAGGAGGCAAGCAGTTGGGTGAGGAGAGTTTCATCCATCTTTACAGCTACTCCCCATAGCTCACATCACCGCCTGAGCTCTGCCTCCTTACCCCCACCTCCATCCGTGGAAAAATCATCTTCCACGAAACCGGCCCCTGGTGCCAAAAAGGTTGGGGGCCACCTGTCTGTGGGGGCTACTCTGTCTGTGGAGTGGATTTTCTATACTTTATAAATAAAACTCATTTTCGTTTTATACTGTCAGCTTGCTCCTGAATTCTTTCTTGCACAAAGCCAAGGACCCATTTGGACTTCAAGTGATTCCAGAATTGGGAGTCACTTTCCTGTGTCATTAGGAAGATCCTAATATAGGATTTGGACTTTTATTAAGTGATTTTGGAAAAAGGGTTTGAGGAAGCAGTGCTTGGCTCTAGATTGGATGCTGCCAGGAAGTGGGGGTGATTCTATGATTGGGTATCAGTAAATCTTATCTATAGAGAGGGTGGGCAAGAGAGATACTAAAACAGTAATTGGTCAAGAAGTCGCAATTATAGTACTGGCATAAAGACTGCTACATAGACCAATGGAACAGAATAGAGAGCCCAAAAACAAACCCTCACATATATATGGTCAAATAGTCTTCAGCAAGGGTACGAAGACCACACAATGAGGAAAGAACAGTCTCCTCAACAAATGGTGCTGGGAAAACTAGATATCCACATACAAAAGAATGAAGTTGGACCTTTACCTTATACCATATACAAAAAATAACTCAAAATTCATTAAAGACCTAAAAATACAAAACTCCTAGAAGAAAATACAGCTTCATGGTATTGGATTTGGCAATGATTTCTTGGATATGATATCAAAAGCACAGGCAACAAAAGGAAAAATAGATGAATGGGACTACATCAAAATTTAAAACTTCTATACATGAAAGGAAACATTAGAGTGAAAGGCAACCTATGGAATGGGAGAAAGTAATTTGAAAGCATATATTTGATAAGGAGTTAATATCCAGACGAGAGAGAGAGAACTCCTACAACTCAACAACAGAACAACAAATAAACTAATTTTTTTAAATGGGCAAAGGACCTGAGCAGACATTTTTCCAAAGAAAATTTATAAATGGCCAATAAGCATATGAAAAGATGCTCAACATCACTAATAATTAGAGAAATGTAAATCAAAACCACAATGAGGTATCATCTCACACCCATTAAGATGGTTACTATAAAAAGAAATGCATAGAAAATAATAAGTGTTGGTGAGAATGTAGAGAAATTGGAACACTTGTGCATTGCTGGTAGGAATGTACAATATTGCAGCTGCTATGAAAAATAGTATGGAAGTTCTTCAAAAAACTAAAAATGGAATTACCATCTGATCCAGCAATCCCACTTCTAGGTATATATCCAAAAGAACTGAAAGTGGGATCTTGAAAAGAGATATTTGCTCTGGGAGGCCAAGCCGGGCGGATCACTCAAGGTCAGGAGTTTGAAACCAGCCATACTCCGATGTTTTATTACAGCAACATGTTGCGGTACGAAGTACAAAAAAAAAAAACCAGCCTGACAAGATGCAAGACCCCGTTGCTACTATAAATAGAAAGAACGTTAATTGCCAGACTGACCTATATATTAAAATTAGCCGGGCATGGTGGCACATGCCTGAGTCCAGTACTCGGGAGGCTGAGGCAGTAGGATGCTTGAGCCAGAGGTTTGAGGTTGCTGTGAGCTAGACTGACGCCCGGCACTCACTCTAGCCTGGACAACAAAGCAAGACTCTGTCTCAAAAAAAAAAAAAACACAAAAAACAAAAACAAAAAAACAGATTACAGTAGGTTTTGTTTTGTTTTGTTTTTGAAGGCATGAGTCTGACTTTTGCCAGGCTAGAGTGCGAGTGCCATGGCGATTAGCCTAGGTCACAACAACCTCAGAACTTCCTGGACAAGCAATCCTCTGCCTCAGCTCCCAAGTAGCTGGACTCAGGCATGCGCCACCGGATGCCTGGCTATTTTCTTTATATAATTAGATTGGCAATTAATTCTGTGTATTGTATAGTAGAGAGCGGTCGCTCTTGCTCCAGGCTGGTTGGTCGAATCCTAGGACCCAGCAATCTGCCACACTCGGCTCCCAGATGCTAGGGACTAGGATGTAAGGCGGAGGCACCGCCGCCCCTACAGTAGTTTTAAAAATTTTGTAAGGATCAGAACTAATCAAAACTCCTTGCGTCTTGAGTTCAAGCCCTGGAGATCTTAGTCTCAGACGTCTTGATTCGATCACGTATCTCTCGTTCTTGTGAAAATTAAGAACACAGTGTTGCACAACGCAGTAAGTGCTCAAAAATTCGAAATTGACTGTTTTACCCTATCAACAAAGACTACTTAGGCGATCCCAAATACCCACGCAACATTTTGTTTTTGTCGTTGCAGCAGACGCTACCCGATTTCTCCCCTAGCGCAAGGATGCCAGGTGTCGCCTTTGAGATTATAACCAAGTTCCCCTTTCATCAACACCACCCTCATCGCCAACAAAAAACATTAAAAATAATATGCTGCTTCCGTAAGTCAAACAACCTGTCAAGCCTTTGTTAATCTCTGTAGTGAGGGACACCTAGCATCCTTAGTCGTATTACACATCATCGCGCTGAGCTGTCTGGGCTTCCTCCCAGAGTAGCTGTAAATCCCGTTAGGGTGTCGTCAATTTAGTCATTATCTGGATGACCCCCTTCCCGACTCCCAAGACAACAAACTCTTGCTGCAATAAACCGACCAAAACTATAACAGATGAACAGCACCTACGCCGCGAGAAGGGCTCGCCTCTACCCCTGACGCTCTCTCGGACGCCACGCTCCAGCAGGAGAGATGGGAAGAGGCTCCTGGTTGTGGCTGCGCTACGACTTCGCCTGGTCCTCGGATGAGGGGGACGAGGGCAGCCATATGCGCGAGGCACTGTCTCCCCACTGATCCGAGCCACGTACCAGGTGCACCAAACACCGCCACGGCGTGTGTCGCGGGGCCTGTGTGTGATTGAAGGACACGACGGTCCAGATGCTGAGCAGTCGGTCTCGGTTGTCCAGCGCTGCACAAAGGCTTCCAGTAGATCTCGATCTCAGCCCCAACTTGGTGCTGGGCTCCTTCGAGCCACCGTCAGCACCGGCTGAGATGCCCGCCGCCCTCGCTGTCTGGCTGCGACGGCGCCGCCCCAACCCAGGTACAGCCGTGGGGAATGAACTTGCAGATTCTGCACGGTGGAGGTCGA